GGCGCTGCAAGGATGGGTGGTGGTCGCGGGTTGCTGAGGAGATGGAGTCTGCCTCAGTGGCCCGTGATCACAAATCTCTATTTAACTCCATCAAAAAAGTAACCTGCAGCGCCACACCTATTACCATCATTAGGGGAAAAAACGGTGATCCAATCTCCGACCCCCAGGAACAGGTTCGCAGATTTGCTGAGCATTTCTGTGAGGTCCTGGGGGAGGGAAAATCCCTCAGCCAGGAAAACATCGTGGCACAAAGTGAGGATGACCCTGCTGAGGCTGCGGTGCCTCAAATATTGGAAGAAGTCACCCCCTGTGAGTGGCTGGCTGAGGTGCCATCTGCTGAGGAAGTATTGAAGGCGATCCGGAGTCTGAGACCAGGAAAGGCAGCGGGCAGAGATGATCTCCCAAGCGAAATGCTGAGGGAGGGTGGCGTTTGTGCACAGACTGCCCTATATGACATCATAACAACAGTCTGGACCACTGGACGGGTTCCGCAGGATTGGAAGGATGCCCTGGTGGTCCCCCTTTTTAAGAAGGGGGACCGCACAGACTGCAACAACTACAGGGGCATCTCACTCCTCAGTGTGCCGGGAAAGGTCCTGGCAAGGATTATTCAGCATCGCCTTGCCAGGCACGCTGAGGAGAGGCTTGCGGAGCCCCAATGCGGTTTCAGGAAAGGGCGGTCCTGCACAGATGCCATATTTTCTGTCCGTCTGCTACAGCAGAGGTGTAGGGAATTCCAACAAGACCTACATCTCTGCTTTATTGACCTGGTCAAGGCCTATGATACCATCAGTAGGCCTGGGCTCTGGGTCGTTCTTCGTGCTTTTGGAGTACCTGACCCTCTGCTCACGATCATTAAGGACCTTCATGATGGTGAGCGGGCCCGGGTAAAACTACGTGGCCGGGAGTCAGAGCCATTCCCTGTACACCTTGGGGTGCGACAGGGATGTCCTCTGGCTCCCACATTATTTAACATCTATTTTGACCACGTAGTTCGTGAAGCCTTCAATAGCTGTACCGGGGGAATCTCCATATGGTACAGATATAATGGGAGGCTAATCGATGCCCGGGTGCGGTCAAGGGATGGCTCCCTATTGCTCAACCACGTTATGTATGCTGATGATTTGGTAATAGCTGCTCAGTCAGAGGAGTTGTTGGAGACGCTGCTGCTGAGACTGGAGCGTGCCACTAAAAGGTGGGGCCTTACCATCAGCCCCACCAAAACTAAGCACCTGCCTGGGTATTTTGTACCATAGGACACTCCACCCCCACAACTCCCAATCGGTGATGGGGCAGTTGTGGAGAGAGTGGAGAGTTTCCCATACCTGGGCAGTGTGCTTATGACTGGCTCCAGTTTAACAGCAGAGGTCTCACTCCGAATCAGTCGAGCGGCATTATCTTTTCATCGGTTGCATAACGATGTGTGGAAGCTACCTGGTCTGTCGCTCCGCACTAAGCTTCAGGTCTTCTCGGCCACGGTCATTCCCTCCCTTCTCTACGCTTGCGAAACGTGGACCCCCCTAATGGAACATCTTTGCCGGTTAGAAACATTTAGGCTGGCCTGCCTGCGATCCATTCTGGGTTTAACCAGACTGGATTGTGTGAGGAGCTCACAAATCCTTGAAAGATCTGGGCAGGGTCCCATCGGTGAGCTCCTCCGGCAGGTAAGGCTGCGATGGCTGGGTCATGTAGCCCGCATGCCCAGCCACCGCATGCCGAAACAGCTTTTGTTTGGCCGGATTGAGGGGGCTAAGCGGGCGCGGCACGGGCTAGAGAAGAGATGGAGTGATGTGGTACAGGAGGACGTGGAGCTGAGTGGACTTGCCGATGACTGGTACCAGCGGTGTCAAGATCGGCCTCTGTGGAGGAGGCTCGTGAAGGATGCTACTGGGCAGTTGGAGGCAGTCGCCCTCCAACAACAACGGAGGGCGGAGGAGCGACGCTCAGAACAACGAGCGGAGCGCCGGGTGGCTAAAGCACAGCAGGTTGGCACAGTAGGGGGCACAGGTGGTGCATCAGCCAGTCATCTCAGTCAGTCGACCCGTGGCACCTGGGTCTGCCCCGTGACCTCCTGCCAGCGGGCGTTCGACACTTCACGTGGCCTCAGGGTGCACATAGCCTGGCACAAGCGTCGTGGTGACGTCACCGCCACTTAGTGGCGAATGGCGGTTGTTGTTGTGTGTGTGTGGTGTGTGTGTGGTGTGTGTGGTGTGTGTGTGGTGCGTGTGGTGTGTGTGGTGTGTGTGGTGTGGTGTGTGTGGTGTGTGTGTGGTGTGTGTGGTGTGTGTGGTGTGTGTGGTGTGTGTAGTGTGTGTGTGTGTGGTGTGTGTGTGGTGGTGTATGTGTGGTGTGTTTGGTGTGTGTGTGTGTGGTGGTGTATGTGTGGTGTGTGTGGTGTGTGTGTGGTGGTGTGTGTGGGGTGTGTGGTGTGTGTGGTGTGTGTGTGGTGTGTGTGTATGGTGTGTGTGGTGTGTGTGGTGTGTGTGTGGTGTGTGTGTGGTGGTGTATGTGTGGTGTGTGTGGTGTGTGTGGTGGTGTGTGTGGTGTGTGTGGTGTGTGTGTGGTGTGTGTGGTGTGTGTGGTGTGTGTGGTGTGTGTGTGGTGTGTGTGTGTGGTGTGTGTGTGGTGTGTGTGTGGTGTGTGTGTGTGGTGTGTGTGTGTGTGGTGCGTGTGTGTGGTGTGTGTGTGTGGTGCGTGTGCTTCGATCCCGACCCTGACGATGCCTGCTGTATCCGACGAGATGTTGACTACCTCGCCGGGTGCGCGGGAGCCCGTGGGTTCCATCCCAACTCCCCCCCCCGACGACGCGAGTCAGTGAACACCTCGCCAAACACAGCAGGCATCGTCAGGGTCGGTCTCGAACCCACGGACACTCCTTCCGTAGCCGAGGCGAGGCAGTCAACATCCCCGGCCTACGCGGACATTCCCACTCCGGTGATTCCCGCGCATCTCCGCTCCAGGTTTTCCGCCTCACCGAGCGAGCGAGCGAGCCAACCAACCAACCAACCACCCCCCGAGCCCGCCGGCCCTCCGCTAGGTCCGCTCGGCCTGAAACAACGGAGCGAGAACAGGCGGCGTGCGCGAGGCAAGCTAGATTCTTGCTTTCCCTAACTTTGTAACTTTAAAACTTTGTGGCTTTTCAGCTTTGTTTTTTTAAACTTTTGAACGTTCACGTTTTTTTTACTTTACTTTTTTTTTAAAAACTTTTTTTAAAAGTTTCTAACTTTAAATGTTTTTTTCTTTTGAAATTTAAATTTTCAACTTTTTAACTTTAGGACTTTTGAACCTTTCACGTTTGAACTTTGGAACTTTTAAATATATTTTTTTCTTAACTTTTCTTTTTTCCAGTTTGACATTTTTTTTGTAACTTTTGAACTTTTTGACGTTGGAACTTTCCAGCTGAATTTAAAAAAAATGTTTTACCTAAACTTTGTTTTATTTTGTAGCTTTTTTCTTCTTTTAAACTTTAGTTTACTTTTTAACTTTTGTTGCAGACTTTGTATAAAATGCGATCCGTCTTCGTTGGAATGGTGGGGGGTGGAGGGGAGGGGGGTGGAACGAGAGGAAAAACACAAAACACGGAAAGGACCTTCCAAGGTCATCTCGGATTTTTGGCACGGTCAAGGAATGCTCGAATGATTCACAGTTTCGCTTTGTTGTTGTTGTTTATGTGGTGGTTGTTGTTGTTTATAATCATGTGGTTGTTGTTGTTGTTGTTTATAATCATGTAGTGGTTGTTGTTATTGTTTATAATAATGTAGTTGTTGTTTATAATAATGTGGTGGTGGTTGTTGTTGTTTATAATCATGTAGTGGTGGTTGTTGTTGTTTATAATCATGTAGTGGTGGCTGTTGTTGTTGTTTATAATAATGTGGTGGTGGTTGTTGTTTATAATCATGTAGTGGTGGTTGTTGTTGTTTATAATAATGTGGTGGTGGTTGTTGTTTATAATAATGTAGTGGTGGTGGTTGTTGTTGTTTATAATAACGTGGTTGTTGTTGTTGTTTATAATCATGTGGTGGTGGTTGTTGTTGTTTATAATCATGTAGTGGTGGTTGTTGTTGTTTATAATCATGTGGTGGTGGTTGTTGTTGTTTATAATAATGTGGTGGTGGTTGTTGTTGTTTATAATCATGTGGTAGTTCTTGTTGTTGTTGTTTATAATAATGTGGTGGTTCTTGTTGTTGTTGTTTATAATAATGTGGTGGTTCTTGTTGTTGTTGTTTATAATAATGTGGTGGTGGGTGTTGTTGTTTATAATCATGTGGTGGTGGTTGTTGTTGTTGTTTATAATAATGTGGTGGTGGATGTTGTTGTTTATAATCATGTGGTGGTGGTTGTTGTTGTTTATAATCATGTGGTGGTGGTTGTTGTTTATAATCATGTAGTAGTGGTGGATGTTGTTGTTGTTGTTTATAATCATGTGGTGGTTGTTGTTGTTGTTGTTTATAATCATGTGGTTGTTGTTGTTTATAATAATGTAGTGGTGGTGGTTGTTGTTGATTATAATGTGGTTGTTGTTGTTTGTAATAATGTAGTGGTTGTTGTTGTTTATAATGTGGTTGTTGTTTATAATAATGTGGTGGTGGTTGTTGTTTATAATAATGTAGTGGTGGTTGTTGTTGTTGTTTATAATAACGTGGTTGTTGTTTATAATAATGTAGTGGTGGTTGTTGTTGTTTATAATAATGTAGTGGTTGTTGTTTATAATAACGTGGTTGTTGTTTATAATAATGTAGTGGTGGTTGTTGTTGTTGTTTGTAATAATGTTGTTGTTTATAATAATGTAGTGGTTGTTGTTTATAATAACGTGGTTGTTGTTTATAATAATGTAGTGGTGGTTGTTGTTGTTTATAATAATGTAGTGGTTGTTGTTTATAATAACGTGGTTGTTGTTTATAATAATGTAGTGGTGGTTGTTGTTGTTGTTTATAATAATGTGGTGGTTGTTGTTTATAATAATGTGGTGGTTGTTGTTTATAATAATGTAGTGGTTGTTGTTTGTAATAACGTGGTGGTTGTTGTTTATAATAATGTAGTGGTGGTTGTTGTGGTTGTTGTTGTTGTTGAAATACTCTGTTTAGTCTCCTCCTCCTCCTCCTCCGTCATCGTCATTGTAGTCCCGAGTCCCGAGTCCGAGTCCAGATCCGAGCCGTCCGAGTCCACGTCTGGTTTCGAGTCCCGGGTCCAGGCGTCGAATCCAGGCCCGGATCTGAGTTTTGAATCCGCGTCCGGGTTTTAGCCCGAATGTAAATTTGAGTCCGGGTCACCCGGTCCGGATCCGAGTTCAAGTTTTTGAGTCCGGATCCGGGATCGAGTACCGAGTACAAATTCAAGTCCCGGTCTACGTCTGGAGTCCGGATCCGAGTCGGAGTCCGGATCCGAGTCCGTCCGGGTCTGGGTCCAAGTCCAGGTTCGACTCCGGATCCGGGGTCGAGTCCGGTGCCGGGTTCCGACTCCGGATCCGGGCTCAAGTTCGACTCCGGATCCGAACTCAAGTTCGACTCCGGATCCGAACTCAAGTTCGAGTCCGGGTCTTGGTTCGAGTCCGGGTCCCAGTCCAGGTCCCAGTCCGAGTTCCCAGTCCGGGTCTTGGTTCGAGTCCGGGTCCCAGTCCGGGTTCGAGTCCGGTTCCGGATCCGGAACTCCGCGAGAGTAGAATTCCAGGCGAGGCGAAGGCTCAGGCGAGGCCCAGTTCCTCGAGGACGTTCCTCGCCACCTCGGCCTCCTGCGCGGGAAACAAGATCGGAACAACGTTCAAGACATCTCAAGAAGACTGGAACAACGTTCAAGACGTCTCGAGAAGACTGGAACAACGTTCAAGACGTCTCAAGAACACTGGAACAACGTTCAAGACGTCTCAAGAGGATCAGAACAACGTTCAAGATGCCTCAACAACATCTGAACAACGTTCAAGACGTCTCAAGAAGACTAGAACAACGTTCAAGACGTCTCGAGAAGACTGGAACAACGTTCAAGACGTCTCGAGAAGACTGGAACAACGTTCAAGACGTCTCGAGAAGACTGGAACAACGTTCAAGACGTCTCGAGAAGACTGGAACAACGTTCAAGACGTCTCGAGAAGACTGGAACAACGTTCAAGACGTCTCAGGAAGACTGGAACAACGTTCAAGACGTCTTGAGAGGATCGGAACAACGTTTAAGACGTCTCAACAACATCGGAACAACGTTCAAGACGTCTCAGGAAGACTGGAACAACGTTCAAGACGTCTCGAGAGGATCGGAACAACGTTCAAGACGTCTCGAGAGGAACAGAACAACGTTCAAGACGTCTCAACAACATCAGAACAACGTTCAAGACGTCTCAGGAAGACTGGAACAACGTTCAAGACGTCTCGAGAGGATCGGAACAACGTTCAAGACGTCTCGAGAGGAACAGAACAACGTTCAAGACGTCTCAACAACATCAGAACAACGTTCAAGACGTCTCAAGAAGACTGGAACAACGTTCAAGACATCTCAAGAGGACTGGCACAACGTTCAGGACGTCTCAACAACATCGGAACAACGTTCAAGACGTCTCAAGAAGACTGGAACAACGTTCAAGACGTCTTGAGAGGATCGGAACAACGTTCAAGACGTCTTGAGAGGTCCGGAACAACGTTCAAGACGTCTCAAGAACATCGGAACAACGTTCAAGACGTCTTGAGAGGATCGGAACAACGTTCAAGACGCCTCAACAACATCGGAAAAACGTTCAAGACGTCTCAAGAAGACTGGAACGTTCAAGACGTCTTGAGAGGATCGGAACAACGTTCAATACGTCTTGAGAGGTCCGGAACAACGTTCAAGACGTCTTAAGAACATCGGAACAACGTTCAAGACGTCTTGAGAGGATCGGAACAACGTTCAAGACGTCTCAAGAAGACTGGAACAACGTTCAAGACGTCTCAAGAGGATCGGAACAACGTTCAAGACGCCTCAACAACATCGGAACAACGTTCAAGACATCTCCAAAGAGCTATACAGCTCAGTGGGCCTTACCTGGTCAAAATAAAAATATATAATAATAGTTTAAAATAACGACTACTACTATTATATTCATATTCTTAGTTTTTTCGGTAAAGTCACGTTGAAGGGAAACAACAAAATAATAAAAAATATATAAAACAATAAAAAATTCTCACGACGTTTCGACCATAACTCAAACGGTCGTCTTCAGGTGTGTTGGTTCGCATATATTTTAAAACGGCGCATTTATTTATTTATAAAAAACGTTAGCGCCACGCGCAGCGATTTGGCAGTTTGCCCAGGACTAGTCCATCTATATTCTGAAAATAGGAGGGGGGAGACGAAATTTTTTATAATGTATGCTGTCTGAAAGCCACTGTAAGCGTGAACAATCAATTAAGACCTGAAATGGTTTATCAAATCTTTCCAATGATTGCTAAGATAGAATCCATCTTCTCGGTTGAAATTGTCTCTGTGCTTGTATATGTGGATAGCCTCATGAACGAATCTCTCATGGAAGCCAGATGGCTTACAAAGAACCTCCGTCTTGGAAAAGTCAATGGCATGTGAGCCTACTGAATTAGAACAATGATCTGCTACGGCCGAGGTGTTGGTCCTACCGTGTTTAAGGTCTGCTTTATGTTCACGAATGCGGTCCGAGATATGGCGTTTGGTTTCTCCAATGTAACTACTACCACAGAGGCAACTTAGTTTGTAGACACCAGGGTATTGTATGTCCGGAATCACATCTTTTACAGACGGAACCAGATGACAGATTTTATGTAATGTGTTGAAACGGACCTGGATCTTGTGTTTATTCAAGATTTTGGAGATCTTTTTTGTGATCCCAGCAATGTAGGGTAAAGTGATGGTTTTGAAAGGCTCCTCAAGAGGGTTTTTCTTCATGGTTTGAGTGATAGCTTTGCGGATTGTATAGTCGGAGTAACCATTAGCCCTAAGAGCTTGGTGTACGTGCTTGAGTTCACTGCTTATGTGTTCCTGGTCGGATATGCATTGGGCTCTATGATACAGAGTCTTGATGAGAGAATTCTTCTGTGATGGATGGTGGTGGGAATCCGGTTTCAGATAAGCATCCGTATGGGTAGCTTTCCTGCAGACAGAGTGGCTCATTGAACCATCAGGTCTCTTTTTAATTAGGACATCCAAAAAAGGTATCTTGCCATCTATTTCGACTTCCATGGTAAATCTGATGGCTGGGTGTATGGAATTGATGTGGTCGAAGAATTGGTCTAGAGCAGGCCGGCCATGTGGCCAGATGACAAAAGTGTCATCCACGTACTAATATTGTTAATTTTACACCAGGTGTAAGGCCCCCCACTCAGCTGCTTTGTAGTAGCTCTTGTTCAGAAGCTAACCACGTGGCCATCACGAGTGATAGCTGCTCAAGCACGTGGCTTATCAACTAACGCATGGGAATTCATAGCAGTCAAAAGAGTCTAAAACGATACAAATATTTTTAATTTTACACCGGGCGTAAGGCCCCCCATTTAGCTGCTTTGTAGTAGCTCTTGTTCAGAAGCTAACCACGTGGCCATCACGAGTGATGGCTGCTCAACCACGTGACGGCCGAGAATCGTCACGTTAACACAGACTCATAGAGACTCATAGAGACCCACGCTCATAGAGACTCATAGAGACCCACACTCATAGAGACTCATAGAGACCCACACTCATAGAGACTCATAGAGACCCACACTCATAGAGACCCACGCTCATAGAGACTCATAGAGATCCACACTCATAGAGACCTACAGAGACCCACACTCATAGAGACTCATAGAGATCAACACTCATAGAGACCTACAGATACCCACACTCATAGAGACTCATAGAGACCCACACTCATAGAGACTTACAGAGACCCACACTCATAGAGACTCATAGAGACCCACACTCATAGAGACCTACAGAGACCCACACTCATAGAGACTCATAGAGACCCACACTCATAGAGACCTACAGAGACCCACACTCATAGAGACTCATAGAGACCCACACTCATAGAGACCTACAGAGACCCACACTCATAGAGACTCATAGAGACCCACACTCATAGGGACCTACAGAGACCCACACTCATAGAGACTCATAGAGATCCACACTCATAGAGACCTACAGAGACCCACACTCATAGAGACTCATAGAGACCCACACTCATAGAGACCTTTCAGAGACCCACACTCTTAGAGACCCACAGAGACCCACACTCATAGAGACCCACAGAGACCCACACTCATAGAGACCCACAGAGACCCACACTCATAGAGACCCACAGAGACCCACACTCATAGAGACCCACAGAGACCCACACTCATAGAGACCCACAGAGACCCACACTCATAGAGACCCACAGAGACCCACACTCATAGAGACCTACAGAGACCCACACTCATAGAGACTCATAGAGATCCACACTCATAGAGACCTACAGAGACCCACACTCATAGAGACCCACAGAGACCCACACTCATAGGGACCTACAGAGACTCATACTCATAGAGACCCACAGAGACCCACACTCATAGAGACCCACAGAGACCCACACTCATAGAGACCTACAGAGACCCACACTCATAGAGACTCATAGAAACCCACACTCACAGAGACCCACACTCATAGAGACCCACAGTGACCCACACTCATAGAGACCCACACTCATAGAGACCCACAAAGACCCACACTCATAGAGACCCACAGTGACCCACACTCATAGAGACCCACACTCATAGAGACCCACAAAGACCCACACTCATAGAGACTCATAGAGACCCACACTCATAGAGACCCATACTCATAGAGACCCACACTCATAGAGACTCAAAGAGACCCACACTCATAGGGACCTACAGAGACCCACACTCATAGAGACTCATAGAGATCCACACTCATAGAGACCTTTCAGAGACCCACACTCATAGGGACCTACAGAGACTCATACTCATAGAGACCCACAGAGACCCTCACTCATAGAGACCTTTCAGTGACCCACACTCATAGAGACCCACAGAGACCCACACTCATAGAGACCTTTCAGAGACCCACACTCATAGAGACCCACAGAGACCCACACTCATAGAGACCCACAGAGACCCACACTCATAGAGACCTTTCAGAGACCCACACTCATAGAGACCCACAGAGACCCACACTCATAGAGACTCATAGAGACCCACACTCATAGAGACCCACAGAGACCCACACTCATAGAGACCCACAGAGACCCACACTCATAGAGACTCATAGAGACCCACACTCATAGAGACCCACAGAGACCCACACTCATAGAGACTCACAGAGACCCACACTCATAGAGACCTACAGAGACCCACACTCATAGAGACTCATAGAGACCCACACTCATAGAGACCTACAGATACCCACACTCATAGAGACTCATAGAGACCCACACTCATAGAGACCTACAGAGACCCACACTCATAGAGACTCATAGAGACCCACACTCATAGAGACCTACAGAGACCCACACTCATAGAGACTCATAGAGATCCACACTCATAGAGACCTACAGAGACCCACACTCATAGAGACTCAAAGAGACCCACACTCATAGAGACCTACAGAGACTCATACTCATAGAGACCCACAGAGACCCACACTCATAGAGACCTTTCAGAGACCCACACTCATAGAGACCCACAGAGACCCACACTCATAGAGACCCACACTCATAGAGACCCATAGCGTACCTAAACTGTGTTTATTTTGGCAGGTGCA